GTATATGGGGTGCCCACTGCCGTCACCACCCCCCCACCAACAGTAACAAAACCATCAATAGCAATATCCACCAAAACTTCTAATTTGTTTATTAATTTGCTTTATTATTTGTAAATAATTCAGAATCTCTCTGAGATCAAAATCCTTTTTTATTACAACATGTTAATAGTAGTCTAATTCAGACCTGCCCTGAGGAAGAACCAAGCAATGAAGCCGTCCATGATTTTAGAAGTTAATTGACTTATTCTTTCTGACCATCTAGATAGTCCCAATATTATTTTAGGCTCCTCCTAGTTAGGTCCACTACCTCATTATTATCCATTGGCCTGGACTTTGGTCTCACTTATACAGCAAGTAGTAGAGCCTATCACTGTCGACATGTAAACATTTGCATATTTTACATTTATAGAGATACTTTTCACATGTCTCATTTGATCCACTAACATCTGTATGCTTGGACGATGGAATAATTAAACAATGTATAGCTAAAACCATCTAAACCCCTCAAATATTATCATCTGATGGGAAGGAAAAGGGGGAAAGAGGAAATTAAATATAGTTATTTCAATTCTTGGCATGATTGACACTGACAATTAAAGAGTAAATTCCATTCAGTATTTTCTTCCAGCTCATGAGGGTTGGCTGTAAGGATACTTCGCAAGTCAGATTTGTGGGCAGATGTTTGCAACCTAAATTGCTTCAGTTGCATGAAAAAGTCACAACCTTTTACTGATTTTCATCCTGGGATCTCTTTAACAAGGAAAAACCTCAGGCCCAGGAAGTCTGGGGTAAGTGAGGCAGGGATGTGTCAAAGTGCACTTTTCCCCAGGTGCAGGGACAAGTATTTGAGTTTCTTTTATTGACCTTGCAAAGAGCTTTGCACACTTTGCACATCAGTTCTTGAGACGGGTGGGAACATGGACTGCCTGCTTTATGTTAAGATTGCAGGATCATGCATTCCTTTCATTTTTGGTGCTAGTACCTAGAAGATGGGAATATATTGAACACTTAATACTTTGCTTGGGCAGGTAGCTCCAGTTGGCAGAAAGTCTAGATAGGATACTCTGCTGTATATCTAGTTTTACTGAGAAGAAAGGGCCCAAGCTATTTTTAAAGAATTTTAAAGTAGGTTTCTCAGCCTGGCGTGGTGGCTCACACCTGTGATCCCAGCACTTTGGGAGGCCGAGGGAGGCAGATCACTTGAGGTCAGGAGTTTGTGACCAGCCTGGCCAACATGGCGAAACCCTGTCTCTACTAAAAATACAAAAATCAGCCAGGCATGGTGGCACGCACCTGTCATCTCAGCTATTGGGGAGGCTGAGGTGAGAGAACTGCTTGAACCCGGGAGGCAGAAGTTGTAGTGAGCTGAGCTTGCGCCACTGCACTCCAGCCTGGGCAACAGAGTGAGACTCTGTCTCAAAAAAATAAATCAATAAAATAAAGTAGGTTTCTCTATACCTTGGAATTTTCTATCTCCCACGATAACTTTTGGGTAAACATGTCCATCAAAATGGAAACAAATCAATTTTTAAAATAGAAATTATTCTCATGTCTATTTTAGTGGGAATCCCCCTGAGAAGATAGCCATGTATGACTGAATGCTCTGTGGTTGCTATTTTGTTGCTCTTGGCCAGGAAACTGATCTAGGTGACATACTTAATCTGACCTGCAGACTGGCCACTTCATACTACCAAGATTCCAAAGCAAAGTATATATACAGTCGGCCCCATGTAGCCTCTGGTTCCATGATGCAACCAATGGCAGATTGGTTGAAAAATATTTGGAAAAAGGCCAAGCACAGTGGAGTGGTTCATGCCTGTAATCCTAGCACTTTGGGAAGCTGAGGCAGGAAAATCACTGGAGCCCAGGAATTCAAGACCAGCCTGGGCAAAATGGCAAGACCTCATCTCTACAAAAAGTAATTAGCTGGGCTTGGTGGCGTGTGCCTGTAGTCCCAGCTACTTGGGAGGCTGAGGTGGGAGGATCATTTGAGCCCAAGTGAAGGCTGCAGTGAGCCATGATTGCATCACCACACTCCAGCCTGGGTGACAGAGCGAGACCCTATCTCAAAATGGGTAACTAAATAACAAAATTTCAAAAAAAAAAAAAAAAAAAAAGTGGAAAAAAAATGAAAAAACAATACACAAATAAAATACAGTATAACAACTATTTACACAGCATTTACACTTTATTAGGTATTGTAAGTAATCCAGGGATGATTTAAAGTATATAAGGGGATGTGCACAGGTTATGTGCAAATGCCATGCCATTTTATATTAGTGTAGGCTCATGGCTAATAAAGCATGAACCCGACTGAAGCTGCCTGGGTATGTGTCCTTGTTCAGCCACTTTCTGGTAGTATCTCTTTTTTCTTAACCTCAGTATTCTTGTAACAGGGATGTTTTCTCTGTATAAGGCTGTTTTGAGGAATAGTTTCTATATGTAAAGTACTTAGAACAGTGCGTAGCATATGGACCGGGTGCAGTGGCTCACGCCTGTAATCCCAGCTCTTTGGGAGGCCGCGTCGGGCGGATCACGAGGTTGGGAGATCGAGACCATCCTGGCTAACACGGTGAAACCCCGTCTCCACTGAATATACAGAAAATTAGCTGGGAGTGGTGGCGGGCGCCTATAGTCCCAGCTACTCAGGAGGCTGAGGCAGGAGAATGGCGTGAACCCGGGAGGCGGAGCTTGCAGTGAGCTGAGATCCCGCCACTGCACTCCAGCCTGGGCGACAGAGCGAGACTCCGTCTCAAAAAAAAAAAAAAAAAATGTGCGTGGCATCTAGGAAGCCCTTAATAGATACTGCCTTAAAAATAATTAGGTATTTCCTAGTGAGGTATACCTAACTACAAGTGCTGTTTTAACTATGCCTACTCTGTGTGCTTTACACTATATATTGTTCAAGGCTAGAATAATGAGCCCCATGAGCAGGGTTTCATAGCATGTAAGATTCCAACACCAGCCTTCAGTCATGGGTACAGGTGGCCTGTGCCATCCAGCTAGCTGCGCTGCCTCCAGACTGGGTGGCCTGCTCCTCCTCCATTGGATAAAAATAGCCTGACTCTTCACTGAAACCACCACCATGTTATTTGTGTCCTTGGGAAGCTGAAAGTAATAGAGCTCTAAGTCTGGCATTGCCAGCTGTCAGCAGAACTGAAATGCAAAGTGCGACATGTGTCTACGCTGTACCCACTGGCCTCCAGGTCGCAACTCCCATTCCCCCATCTTGATTTTTTTCCATTCTCAAATTCATTATTTCCCCTATAGGTGACTGTGGAATGGAAACAGATTTAGATTTCCTACCTATTTAGATTTTTTCCATACTAAAATTACAAAGCAGAAAAACTGCTATTGACACATTTTTGGTTAGGAAAATCTGGATGTGGTTCCTATGCCTAGCCTAGTCATATAAATTCTCTCCCCATGTATCTTTGTGTGTGTGTGAAACAGGGTCTTGTCACCCAGGCTGGAGTGCAGTGGTGCAATCACAGCTCACCATGGTCTTGACTTCTTGGGCTCAAGCGATCCTCTCACTTCAGCCTCCCTAATAGTAGGGACTACAGGCTCACATCACCACATGCAACTAATTTGTTTTGATTTCTGGTAGAGACAGGTGTCACTATTGTGCCCAGGCTAGTAACTCCTGGGCTCCAGCAGTCCTCCTGCCTTGGCCTCCCAAACTCCTGGGATTACAGGCATGAGTCACCAAGCCTAGCCTCTCCTCATCAAAACCATTCCCTCTTTGTAAGATTCTTCCTATGTCTTAAAACTTAATACCTTTAATCCTTCCCTGGAGCCATAGATTGATTGATTGATTGATTGATTGATTGATTTATGAGGCAGGGTCTCACTTTGTTGCCCAGGCTGGAGTGCAGTGGCACAATCATAGGCTCACTGCAGCCTTGACCTCCTGGACTCAAGTGATCCTCCCACCTCAGCCTCCTGAGTAGCTGGGACTACAGGTGTGCACCACCACACCAGTTTTGTTGTTGTTGTTGTGTTTTTGTTTTGGTAGAAACAGGGTCTCTCCATGTTGCCCAGGCTGGTTGCGAACTCCTGGGCTCAAGCAATCCACCCGCCTCAGCCTCCCAAAGTACTGGGCTTGTAGGCGTGAGCCACCGCACCTGTCCCTGTCTGCTCTTTTTTTTTTTTTGAGATGGAGTCTTGTTCTGTTGCCCAGGCTGGAGTGCAGTGGTGTGATCTCGGCACACTGCAACCTCCACCTCTCAGGTTCAAGCCGATTCTCCTGCCTCAGTCTCCCAAGTAGCTGGGATTACAGGCATGTACAGCCACGCCCGGCTGACTTTTGTATTTTTAGTAGAGATGGGGTTTCACCATGTTGCCCAGGCTGGTCTTGAACTCCAGACCTCAGGTGATCCACCCACCTCGGCCTCCCAAAATGCTGGATTACAGGCATATAGGTGAGCCCCAGAGATAAGAGTAGCAAGCAGTGATGGGGAGAAGATAATCAATCTAGTGTAGGAAAGATGGAAAGAATGGTGACATTTCACAACTGCTAGATTGACACTTTAACTTGGGAGTTATCCCTCTATAAACTGGATATTTGCTGAGCAAAGTTTAAAGAGAGCTCCATGTATTCAGTAATGTTTTCCAAACCCCACTTCTCATAAGTCAGTGGCTTAGAGTGCTTGCTCTAATTTCTATATGGCGTTAAACAAGGGTGGGATTTCTTTTCATTCAAACCATTTGTGACTTTGCCCTTTAGTGACCTCTACCATCACCCTATCATTAATGATCCAAGTGATTAGAATGGATGGCTATGTGTTTGTAGGTTGTTTGTTGTCTTTAATGAATAGATTCATTGAATGGAATTAACTGTGCTCTTCTAGAACATTGGATCTGTGTTCTCATTTAGATTGTATTTGTAATCTCCCCACTCCCCACCATCAACAGTGGCATAATGTGAATTAATATATGTGGTATCTGCCATTTAAAAACCATGATCTCTCTCCTTCCTTTTTTTGTCTTAAACATAGGACATGGATTTGATTGATATACTTTGGAGGCAAGATATAGATCTTGGAGTAAGTCGAGAAGTATTTGACTTCAGTCAGCGACGGAAAGAGTATGAGCTGGAAAAACAGAAAAAACTTGAAAAGGAAAGACAAGAACAACTCCAAAAGGAGCAAGAGAAAGCCTTTTTCGCTCAGTTACAACTAGATGAAGAGACAGGTGAATTTCTCCCAATTCAGCCAGCCCAGCACATCCAGTCAGAAACCAGTGGATCTGCCAACTACTCCCAGGTAGAGTACTCCATTCTTGGGAAAGTTATGGCAGGGTTTAAGGAAACACTGACCAAGGAATTAAAGTATCTGGATTTGAGTTCCAGCTTTGCCTTTCTTTTACTTAACCTTGTCAAATCTACCTTCCAACCTCAGCCTCCTGATGAGTCCAGTACCCAACCTACTAATCTTAACAGAGTTATTGTGAGGATTGGGAAGACATAAGTTACACAAAAGAGTTTTGTAAAGTATAGAAACATCCTGTAAGGATCAAGTAGCAGCAACAGAAGTAGTGGCAGGAGAACCAAGTAGTAGGAATTACTGGCGTTACTGTGTGTGGCAAGCACTGTTTTAAGAACTTAACATATACTGACTGATTTAATCAACACAAGTATATTAATTAGGTACCATTATCCCTATTTTATCTGCGATGAGCAACTGAAGCTGAAAAAAGGTTAAATAATTTGCCCAGATCACTCAGAAAATTGGAGGAGCTAAGATTTGAACCCACGTGGTCTGGTTCAAATTGTGTACCAAAGTGATCTCTGCAATAAGATAAATATTTACCTAACTTGCTTATATTTTATGAACATCAAGTATTGAATATTTTGCTTGGCAATGGAATATTTAACCATTTTTGTCTTCCTTTGTGTCATTCCCTTTTATCAGGTTGCCCACATTCCCAAATCAGATGCTTTGTACTTTGATGACTGCATGCAGCTTTTGGCGCAGACATTCCCGTTTGTAGATGACAATGAGGTGAGGTATAAAATAACCTGGTTAGGAGCAAAACTCCCTAACTATAAAATAACAATCATATTCTACGTAAGTCCCGTCAATGAGTCTCCATTTAAAAGAATAAAAACAGTTTTAGGAGGAAATTTTTTAACCAAGGAAATACACTGTCAAGGAAACCTTAGCCTATAGATAACTTTACAATTAAGAAAAAAATAATAAAAAACCTTCACACAATACAAAACCAAAACCATTTACTATTGCATACCCAGAAACATGGACAGCATAACCATGGAAACAAATAACTCATTTGCTGCAAGTATCTAAGAGGTCTTGGTGAGTAAAAAGCCAGCTGGGCAATAAACGAAGACTTCTTCAGTTAACAGTTTTAATAAATCGGTTTTATCTGGTACCACTGTGCTAGATATTATATAAACTAAATCCTAAAGATTGTGCTTACTCATTTTAAAGTTTACTTTCAAATGCGTAGGCTGAAACAATTAGGCCAGCAAATAGTAAATCTGAGTCAGTGTGGTAGGAAAAAAAGATTTGTTTCATTATTTACAAAGGGTCATGACTGGTTAGTAAGTAGCGAGACACGGAACTGCAGCTGATTCCATTTTGTATTGTGGTGGTGCCTTAGAGCTTACTTATTCCCTGTTGGTGGAAGACTCATAAATCAATGCCTTATCAATTTTAGGTTTCTTCGGCTACGTTTCAGTCACTTGTTCCTGATATTCCCGGCCACATCGAGAGCCCAGTCTTCATTGCTACTAATCAGGCTCAGTCGCCTGAAACTTCTGTTGCTCAGGTAGCCCCTGTTGATTTAGACGGTATGCAACAGGACATTGAGCAAGTTTGGGAGGAGCTATTATCCATTCCTGAGTTACAGGTAACTAAAATAGAATGTAATACTGAAGATATTATTTTATATTCAGTGCCTTTAGTCATTCTGATTATTTATATGCCACCTATTTATAGGAAGGATTGGAGGGTGCTATTAAATTAGTCATGAGTACTGCCCATGCTAGTTAAATGGGTTGGATATCTTGAGGATAGAATGTTATAAACCTGATGTCTGATCTGGGAACTCTGAAAATAATACATATGCTTAGGCATAAATACGTATTGGAAGTGAGAATTATCTCTAAATTATAGAGAGAATAAATTATAGAGATAAGCCTGAAGATAATGTGGGTAGGGAGTTTATCTAAATTTATCACGTATTATCATGGATTAACTTTGATTTATATAGTATAAACTTCTTTCCCATGCAGTGTCTTAATATTGAAAATGACAAGCTGGTTGAGACTACCATGGTTCCAAGTCCAGAAGCCAAACTGACAGAAGTTGACAATTATCATTTTTACTCATCTATATCCTCAATGGAAAAAGAAGTAGGTAACTGTAGTCCACATTTTCTTAATGCTTTTGAGGATTCCTTCAGCAGCATCCTCTCCACAGAAGACCCCAACCAGTTGACAGTGAACTCATTAAATTCAGATGCCACAGTCAACACAGATTTTGGTGATGAATTTTATTCTGCTTTCATAGCTGAGCCCAGTATCAGCAACAGCATGCCCTCACCTGCTACTTTAAGCCATTCACTCTCTGAACTTCTAAATGGGCCCATTGATGTTTCTGATCTATCACTTTGCAAAGCTTTTAACCAAAACCACCCTGAAAGCACAACAGAATTCAATGATTCTGACTCTGGCATTTCACTGAACACAAGTCCCAGTGTGGCATCACCAGAACACTCAGTGGAATCTTCCAGCTATGGAGACACACTACTTGGCCTCAGTGATTCTGAAGTGGAAGAGCTAGATAGTGCCCCTGGAAGTGTCAAACAGAATGGTCCTAAAACACAACCAGTACATTCTTCTGGGGATACGGTACAACCCTTGTCACCATCTCAGGGGCAGAGCACTCCCGTGCATGATGCCCAATGTGAGAACACACCAGAGAAAGAATTGCCTGTAAGTCCTGGTCACGGAAAAACCCCATTCACAAAAGACAAACATTCAAGCCGCTTGGAGGCTCATCTCACAAGAGATGAACTTAGGGCAAAAGCTCTCCATATCCCATTCCCCGTAGAAAAAATCATTAACCTCCCTGTTGTTGACTTCAACGAAATGATGTCCAAAGAGCAGTTCAATGAAGCTCAACTTGCATTAATTCGAGATATACGTAGGAGGGGTAAGAATAAAGTGGCTGCTCAGAATTGTAGAAAAAGAAAACTGGAAAATATAGTAGAACTAGAGCAAGATTTAGATCATTTGAAAGATGAAAAAGAAAAATTGCTCAAAGAAAAAGGAGAAAATGACAAAAGCCTTCACCTACTGAAAAAACAACTCAGCACCTTATATCTCGAAGTTTTCAGCATGCTACGTGATGAAGATGGAAAACCTTATTCTCCTAGTGAATACTCCCTGCAGCAAACAAGAGATGGCAATGTTTTCCTTGTTCCCAAAAGTAAGAAGCCAGATGTTAAGAAAAACTAGATTTAGGAGGATTTGACCTTTTCTGAGCTAGTTTTTTTGTACTATTATACTAAAAGCTCCTACTGTGATGTGAAATGCTCATACTTTATAAGTAATTCTATGCAAAATTATAGCCAAAACTAGTATAGAAAATAATATGAAACTTTAAAAAGCATTGGAGTGTCAGTACGTTGAATCAGTAGTTTCACTTTAACTATAAACAATTTCGTAGGACACCATTTGGGCTAGTTTCTGTGTAAGTGTAAATACTACAAAAACTTATTTATACTGTTCTTATGTCATTTGTTATATTCATAGATTTATATGATGATATGACATCTGGCTAAAAGCAAATTATTGCAAAACTAACCACTATGTACTTTTTTATAAATACTGTATGGACAAAAAAATGGCATTTTTTATATTAAATTGTTTAGCTCTGGCAAAAAACAATTTTAAGAGCTGGTACTAATAAAGGATTATTATGACTGTTAAATTATTTGTTTGGGATTCCTTTGAGTTTATTCATAAGTAGTATTTTCCGTAAGATAATCATCCTTTTAATTTAGATGTTTTGCATTTTCACAATGTTTTATTTGAAAATATAAAAATCATTTTATACTAAATTTCTAGTACCAGGGTTACAGAAAAATAAAGTATATCAAGAGGATACTTTGCCTCTTCAATAGCAAGTACATCTAAACCCAAGAAAATGTTATACACTGATGTGAAAGCATTGATTCATTTATTTCCATCAGTAGATATACGCCCACTATACACTAGGCACAGTTTGAAGTAGAAAGGACAAAACCAATATCCCTGCCCTGGAACTTGCATTCTAGTGAAGGGGAGGTAACAAGCATACTCCACTATGTTAGAAGGAATTGGATGGGGAAAACCAGTAAAAAGCATCACAACTTAAGACTGTAAATGGGAAGAGCGTTACTGAAGTGGCAACATTTGACGATGGGGGGGAGAAGCCGTTCTCATAGCCAAGAACACTGTAGACAAGACACAGCAGGTCCAAAGGTGGAACCACATTTGAGAAAAAACAAGGACAATGTGGCCGAAGAAAGGGATGGTGGTGGAATATGACAGAGCCTTCTAAGTCTACATAAGTGAGGTGGGGAGCTAATGGTGCTGTTCAGCAGTTACATTCAACTTTTATTTTAAAAGTTCCCTCTGGGGTTTGTGACTGCTGGCAGTGGCTGCCTAGCTTTCTGGTAAAGGAGTGCAGTTAGTGGCAGGTGGCTGTACCAATCCGGATGGAGGAGAAAGAAGCTGGGCTGGTCAGTACAGTGGTGGCAGCTGGACTGACCATTTCTGCTGCAGGTTTTGCAAGCCAGGAAGCACATATAGCCTGAAGTAAAAGAGGATTTTCAAAGTCTACCAAAATCTGCCTTCAGCGGTGGCTATTAGAGAGGTGGGTTTGAACCCAAAATGACAAAATGGGAAGCAGCAATACTACCTGTAAGCCTTACTGCCAGGAAGGGAAAATAAAAGAGATGCTCGGTAACAAATATGATCTTAAATCGCCCAAAGAAGGATCTCCTTATATAGCAACCCAAATCAATGAAGCTAAGGATTTACTAGGTCAAGCCCAAAAAAGAAAGAAATGTGTGATGAATTTTAGCTTCCTACTATTTTTATGTATATAAATATCAACCGGTTTTTTTTTGTTTTGTTTTTTTTGACGGAGTCTTGCCCTGTCGCCCAGGCTGAAGTGCAGTGGTGCAATCTCAGCTCACTGCAACCTCCGCCTCCCGGGTTCAAGCGATTCTCCTGCCCCAGCCTCCTGAGTAGCTGGGATTACAGGCGCGTGCCTCCACGCCCAGCTAATTTTTGCATTTTTTAGTAGAGATGAGGTTTCACCATGTTGGTCAGGCTGGTCTCAAAATTCTGACCTCGTGATCCGTCCGCTTCGGCCTCCCAAAGTGCTGGGATTACAGGCGTTGAGCCACCGCGCCCCGGTTGAGTATCAACGTTCTATAAAATGCCTCAGAGCTACAACTTTTAAAGTTTCCTCTGGCTTGTATGTTGAGAACAGTATAGAGGGTAAGGATGGGAGTAGGGAAACCGATTGAGAGGTTCATGCATTGTGATGGTGGTTTGGTCCAGGGTGATAGAAGTGGGTAGTCAGGGACATCGGATTCTGCCACGTCTCAGAACTAAAAAGATTTTCTGGTAGAATGGATTTGAGTCAGGAAGTTTAACATCTTTAAGAATTGAGTTGTCCAAGGACGGAGAAGACAGGATAGAGACCGACTCAGGTGGGAAAATCAGTTCCTTTTTGGACATACTGAGAGATTAGACGTTTAAACTAGAGTGCACAAAAATAAGTTCCCTAAAAACCCTTTGAAAATCTGCATGCTAATGAATCATTCAGTTATTATTTCCTCACCTAAGCACGTTTCACTTGTTCATATTGTTTTGCCTTTTTAAAGTGAGGAAATGGAGATTCATTTAAGTATGTTTAAAATAAGCACTGCATGTGTTAACTATTCAGTGAAGACTCCTAGCAACCCATTAGGAGCGATGTAGTGTTAGAAATCCTGTCCCTGGAACCAGACTGCATGGGCTTGCTGCTAATTCCTAGAATGACCTTTAGTAACTCACTTTAGTTTTTTTTTTTCTTTTTTTTTCTTTTGAGACAGTCTGGCTCTGTCACCCAGGCTGGAGTGCAATGGCGCTATCTCGGCTCACTGCAAACTCTGCCTCCTGGGTTCAGGCCATTCTTCTGCCTCCTCTTAAGCGTATTTTCTCATTTATAAAGCAGAGTGGTACTCAGTGGGTCACCCCCACAAAAAGCACTGCGCCTAGCTCATAGTAAACATTGCATAAACGATGGGTGTGTCAGTTTCCTTTAGTCTTGTATTACGCTTTTTGACTACAAGTGAATCCAAATTAGCTTACAAGAGAATTTCACTGCTGGGATTGAAAATGACTTCAAGGACTAATGGATCTAAGGGTTCAAATGTGAAGATTTTGTGTTCTTCTTCTTGCCCACGATGGAGTGCAGTGGCACAATCTCGGCTCACTGCAACCTCCACCTCTCAGGTTCAAGTGATTCTCCTGCCTCAGCCTCCCAAGTAGCTGGGATTACAGGTATCTGCCACCCGCTTTTTTTTTTTTTTTTTTTTTGCATTTTTAGTGGAGACAGGTTTTCACCATGATGACCAGGATGGTATGGAACTCCTGACCTCAAGTGATCCTCCTTGGCCTCCCAAAGTGCTAGGATTACACACGAGCCACCACGCCAAGCCAAATGTGAAGATTTTGGGTCCTGAATATTTTTCACGTGCTATCAAGGAACTTCCTTCCTCTGATGGTGTGGTGATGGGGAATCTCGGGAGAAGACATCACTTTTCCAAACTCAGATAATCCCAGGTCTCGAACAAACTATATTCTTACACCAAATTGTGAGTGGGGAGATGGTGGCAAGAATCTCAGCAGCAGCCCTATCTGGAGCACCTAACACTGACTGGTATTTGAAGGGAGAAGAGCATTGCTGGGCAGACAAAAACAGACATTCTTTGGCAGTAAACTTCAAAGTATTCTGACCAATTCATACAAGGTAACTGGCCATAGAAACTTATGGTACCTAAAAATACTACAGTGAAGTATAAAACATTGTGAGAAATTATAAATTTCAAATAACAAATCCCAACTATGCCATGACTAATAAAACCAAGTGTTCATTTCTCTTAATTTGCATTTGCGTTGAGAGCTTTATACCTGTGCTCAAATTTGACTATCAAACTGTAATTGCACAACACTTCATATGAAAACCTATCTTCTTGCCAAGATTTCCCAAGTTCTGTTTTTGAGGGGGGCACTGCTCAAATGTTTGCCATATCCGTATTTGTGACTAAGCTTCAGAATACATACATTTAAACATACCTACCAGGGTGCTTTGTCTTCAGTTGATGCTGTTTAACACCTGAGAACTGGAAAAAAATTAAAGACTAGAAAACTTCAATCCTATATTGGGGTGGCGGAGGGGGGAAGACATTGGCATAACTTTTATCACCCATTAGAATTTTAGGTATGCTTCAGGATATCCTTGTAAGACAGTATCCAGCATTACCAAAATACTATCTTTAGGGTCCATAAGACAGGTGCTAGGTTAAGTTCTTTAAGCTATTGAATTTAACTTTCTGATTTAGGGAGGGGATTATAAATCCATTTTACCAAAAAAAAAAAAAAAAAGAAAGAAAAAGAAAAAAAGTGTAAGTGTGTGTGTGGGGGAATCAGGTTAAAAACAGGAGTTCTTAACCTGTATAGTTTTTAGGTCTGAGAATTTTGATGGGAAGAAACTTTCTTCTTCATTTTTACTTCATTTCCTTCAATATTCCAGGCAACAAACTACTGGTATTTCACTGTACTTGGCTTAAAGTACAATTTAAACCACATTATCAATTATGCATCAGAACTTCAATGTTAGAAATCAGACCCACCATTAGGCCTAATTTAGTGTTTCAAGTACATTAAGTTATAAACTTAATATTTTGGTAATTATTTTCATGTAACATTTGAGTAATCTCACCTGCATCTCATGCCATGTAAAAATCAACATTCTAAGGGGCCTGCTGGAATACCAATCTGCCAGAAAGCATGGCATTAAAAGGAACCAAGTAACCTGCCCAAGCTCACAAAACTGCTTTTACATTCTGTATTTACATTTCTTACTGATAAAATCTGACCCAAGAATCAGTAACAAAAAACTACGAATTACGTTTTCTTTCAGTACCTATAGAGAGTAAGACCACTGACTTCAAATAGACAATCCATCAGAATTCTTTTGATATAAAGGATGTAAGTTTACTCAGCATTTACCGAACAGCATAGTTAATACAATTTAAAAATTAAGTTACCTGGAGCCTCCAGATACAACTAAACATTTTACACAATTCCTTTACCATGACAAGTCCTTTAATTAGTGGCTATATATATGGATGTAGTCAATGAAACTCTTCCATATATTTTAAGGTATTTTTAAGCTGTCAACATTCTTGTGTATACCCTTCACCCAGTTACTATATCTTTACCAATAAAAGTTGAACAGTATGGGTTAATTCCCATTTCCTAGCAAGCTTTCAGAACTGTGCACAATGTACACTTCAACGCACCCTTGCCATTACCTGGTGTTAGGGTCTCTGAAAATGTGTTAAGCTTAAAATGGCTTTTACCTATTACCAGCTTACATCCCCCTAAACCTTGGCATTGTATTCAATCCAAAGTTAAAAATCAACCCAGTGTATCCAATTTTTGCAAAAGAAAACAATCTTTACATTTACTATGTCTGTGACGCACACATGCAAACTCAAATTTTATCTCATTTCCTATTTTGCCGTTTATATAACAATGTCCTTTTACTGTGAGAAAACAAGGGTAAATATACTTTTGTTGGAAATTAAGTCCACACTCGTCCTTTATTATTCCAGGACCTAAGTATTAAACTGAAATTATTAGACACACCATTCTTTTTTGAGACGGAATCTCGCTATCACCCAAGTTGGAGTGCAGTGGTGCGATCTCTGCTCACTGCATGTTCACCTTCTGGATTCACGCCCTTCTCCTGCCTCAGCCTCCTGGGTAGTGAGACTACAGGTGCCCACCACCACGCCCAGCTAATTTTTTGAATTTTTTAGTAGAGATGGGGTTTCATCATGTTAGCTAGGATGGTCTCAAACTCCTGACCTTGTGATCTGCCTTGGTGTCCCGAAGTACTGGGATTACAGGTGTGAGCCACCATGCCTGGTCTAGACATGCCACTCTTTAAGATTACTTAACTGCACAGAATATGAAACCAGTGTTTGAATACAAGCAAAATGAGTTTGCATTAAGTCTAACAGCTAGCCAAGAACCCTCATCTGGCTTCAACTTATAAAGTATTTCACTTGAAAAAATTATATTGGGAAAATACTTAATAGCTATTAAGGCTAGAAATCCAAATACACGTTGTAATTTCAAAAAAAAAAAAAAATTCATCCAAGACCTACCCCCATAAATGAATCCAGCAAAAAAAAAAAAAAAAAAATTCATCCAAGACCTACCCCCATAAATGAATCCAGCAAAAGATGATCATTACCCACATCATCCTTACCCTTTTCCTCTTCGGTTAAACATCAGTGTAGTTTGAGACTACAGAATTTCCTGAAAGGTTTTCCCCAACTTACTTTCACCATATAGTACTGAACCACTCCACTGCCTCTCTCAAGAAACTAGGGAATTCCAACATCTGAAATGCCCTTTCCCTCCTAGCAACCACCTTTTTCTCCTAGTTTGTTTCTATTCACTCACTCGTTTATCCTTTTTCCCTCAAAGGTTCAGATGCCTCACATGTATCACCCAAATACCTAATACATTGTTAAGACCTAAACTATTTTAGGCAACAAGTGCTGATAACTTTAAAAAATATTTTTTCTTCCATGCTTATTTCCCATGGCTTATTTCCCATATAATAGAATTCACATCTTTTAAAATAACTGGTAAAGGCTCACTCCAAGTTTCCTGTTGTTTTATTACTTACTGGTAAAATAACTCAAAATATTCACCTATAGTGTTTAAGTCACATGAACATTGTGAAGTGACAAAACAACACACACATTTCTAAAAATATTTTAATGAAAAAGTTATCTTTCTGTAAACATTTCATTATACTACAAATGAAACATCTGAATCCATTACAGAACACTTCTGAATTCTTAAAAATCAGAAAACATACTGAAGTTTTAAAGTAATTTTGAATATTTAGATAGGCTAACAATCCTTACATTACCCTTGCACACTGGCATGCTTATTCACTAATTTGTGACATTACTGGAACTCCAAGAGATACTGTCAATTAGGTTTCAACTTCTGACTATTATATACCGGAACTCTTAAAACCAAGCCTATTTCAATTAGTTACTTAACAAATGTACTTCATTATCACATATTCTCCTTTAGGACATGAGTATAAATTCAGCTTTTTAGCAGTGTAATATTAGAAGCAGTAACCTACAAATTGGTTTAACTAACAAAATCAGTTAAATCTGCCCCAACCACTTATATAACAATTTTTTTTTTAACTGCTGCTACAACTTATGAGAATACTGTATTTTTCAGAGACGACAATGGAACTATGTTTAAACAAAATAATTTTATTTCATAAAAAGAAATGAACTAGAAAGAACAATGCCCTTAAAAAATAAAATTGTCTGCTTCACTAAAACCATGTTGTGAGGGAAATTCATCAAAGGCTGTTACCTTATTCAACACGTGTAGAAATTGGGTTCTGATTTAGATACAGAGCCAACCAGTCATTTTCTGAGACTAAACACTGGCAAACTGCATCTTCCTGTAGGGAACTGGTAATTTAGAAACTAGTTTGCATTTTCACTATCTGTCTCCAAAGGATTTTTGTTTTTTAAAGTAAACTAACCACCTAAATGGTTAAGCCCTTTTGGGGCAGCAAAAACAGCCCTTATTACCCAACAACCAGTCTGAACAGTAATTCAGTATTCTTCAGCAAAACGTCTTTTTACAAAGGAGCACTAATTAGGCCCCCACTGCCTAACATGAACCAAAACAAAAAAGGAAGCAAAATGTAACCTATTGGTCCAATGAATTCCCTGAATTTATATGCAAGAGAACGTATGAGGCCACTTGAAGACCAACCTTTATCCATGACATCTGGTAACTTTTCTTGAGATGGGGTCTATCACCCAGGCTGGAATACAGTGGGGCAGTCAGCTCACAGCAGCCTTAACCACCTGGGATCAAGGCATCCTCCCACCTCAGCCTCCCAAGTAGCTGGGACTACAGATGTGTACCACCAGGCCCAGCTAATTTTCGTATTTTTTGTTGACAGGGTCTCGTTATGTTGTCCAGGCTAGTATCAAACTCCTGGACTCGGGATCCATCTGCCTCAGCCTCCCAAAGTGCTGGGATTACATCTGCCTCAGCCTCCCAAAGTGCTGGGATTACAGGCGTGAGCCATTGTGCCTGGCCCTGGTAACTTTTAATGTTCCTCTGAAGGTGTTTCCCTAGTATGAGGATTGGCAGCTTAGTGTGTTGTGTGTCATGCTTATTACAAAAATGGTTTTCACAAAAGCTGAAGCTACTTTCTCTTACCAAAAATTGAGTTTACCCTGAACACACTAATAATGAATTGCATACACGAGGGGTCACAACTGACTTGATATTAATACTTATGGCTATTTTGCAGGAGAATTTTTAAAACTAAGGTTTAAAATGTGTTGGACATGGTACCCAGGTAGTTTTCAGTCGAAGAATTTTATCAATGTGCCTACTAGAGAGGGACAAAGTTGTGAAATATGTAATGTAGACTTGCAGGGAAACAAATGGTGTCATCAGGTTTTACTGTCAACTACAAACCTTACCCAGCCAGAAACCTTCGTATTTTAGATGGTAGGAAAGACATTCCTCATTTAGGCAAGTAGGGTTCTCATTCAACCTGCAAATCAAAAAGATTACTCTTACCTTGCTTTACAAAAAATTACTCTTTAATTAGTGAAAAAATTCAAATTCAAGCCTTACCTAATGCTTATTGCCCTTCCTTGCAGGTCTAAATGCTAGACCTAGTGACTGTGGCAACTATCTCTCATTGATGTTCCAAAAGGCGAAGAGCTCCTTCCTGCTAGACTTTCTTCGATATTTCAGTTGTAATAAGCAGATTTAACTAGCTTTTGGAAAGTTGCTCACTATCATCATAGTATCTTATGCCTTCACTTCTCTGTAGTTGAAGCTCTTGCTGCTGCCTTGTCATTCTTTATTTATGCTGACTTGTCCAAACACAAAAGGCTGCTGAAGTCCTGTCTTAGTGAGTTTCCTTTGATCCACACTGTGCTTAAAAAGCACATCTTAGGTCCTTTAAAGCTGGTTAAATCGCTCTCCTCATGGCTTACTTTTCCACACTGTTCACAAGATCTAAGCTAATACAACTTATAAACAGGTCACATACACAGATTTCACCTGCTTATAGGTTGTAAACATCAACTTACTGCAAATGTTTTCACTATAATACTAGTTCCAGAACATAGAAAGTTGGTTAACAGTACAATTAACCTCATGCCATTAAAGGATACTGTCAAGGTTGTGTCAAACAATTTCACAAACATAAAACAGGAAATGTTAATCTCCCCCATTCCTTTAAACTTTATTTATATGAATAAAAGAACTTGAGACAATTTAGCTCAATTTTAATGTTTCCCAAGCATTATTTTGACCAGGTACCCAGGTTTAAGTTATAAACATTGACAGTGTCCATTATATAACCACACTTGAAGTTATTAAGGACTTAACCATTTTCTAATATTAGCCTATTTTCTACACTGCTTTTCACATATATGCCCATTAACAAATGGAATGTCTGTTACATTTATTGTTTTGTGAATGTTTCTGGAAAACTGCAGTATGTGTGAAGACCAATTTCCATGCTGGCATTGCATGCATCCAAATATTAATGCACAGAGGCACAGAATTAGAGCAACAAGAGAGCATATTCAAACACTAGCACGCCCCATTCCCCTTTTTATTGCTTGTTTGCTTAGTACTTCTTAAAACAAAAAGAAAGACTTGAATTCAACGTTCAACTACCAAAGAAAGAGTAACAGCAGGGCACATACTCAGGGCTCAAATGAAATTGTAAGCACTAGCTGGCGCAAAACAGTAGACATTGGCTTATATTACTATATATATATATGACCTTATTATCTAAAAGTCTTCTCAACCAGGGCCTTCCGAACCAATTGGTAACAACATGATTTACGTTGAAATATACACAAGAAATAACAGTGTGTTCTTTGGGCATTTATGAACTCAAGACTATTCAAATTTGAATTCAGGTCTGTAGGAAGTGAGAAGCCTGTACTAAGCAACTGTGCTACATTTCTGCTGCAGTTAGGTTATTTTGGACAATTATACCTAAACTATCCTTGGTTTCATCCAGCAAAATGTATAGAATACAAACAGGAAAGCATGCCAGCCAGTTAGGGGTTTAATAACGCATCATTTTTATTCTCTTGCTCTGAAAACTTGTATCAAAAAAAAATTAAACTAAGGAAAATAACTCAAGATTTATGGGCCTCTTGTGCTTTAAAAAAAGAAAAAGAAAAGGTACCCACTAATTTGCTCAGATATAGCAGGCTTAATGGTTCTATATTCTGAAAAGTTTTTAAGAATAGTTTCTAACATAGGAGACGGAAAACATCCACTATCCCTTTTCAGAATTTAAATGGAGGGCAGTAAACATTCTTTACACCCAAAACCTATGGCAGCAGTTCAAATTTGACCAAGGTAAATGTATGGAGATGTTCTAAACACAGCTAGGACTCAGCAAGTCTAACACACTAAAATCATATGATTACATTTTAAAAGAAAATGCACAAAAACCAAATAGAAATTTTGAGATTTTTTTCATTTGAAGGTAATCTTAATGCTATTAAATTCACAAATGCTAATTTAAATACCCAATCCTATTTATCTAAAACACACATTGCAAACACACAAATTATCTATTCTCTCCACATGTCAGCGCCCATTCATATCATGGTTTGGAAATGGGGAGACTATAGATTCCCCTTATACTGCAAGTCAGCAGGTGTTTCTTTACAGTTAACTTTAGCAAAATTCATACAAAATAGTAATTAACAATGATCTTCTTTACTTGTTAACTCACAAGGAAACACCTTCAAAACTGCATTTTGTTAAAGTTTCTGTACTAAAATGTAGAAAAACTGAACTACACAAATATTGAAAAGTTAAAAATTCCTTAATTTTTTATTCCTGGTACCACTACCACAATTTACAGGGCAATATACCTGATGTAATGAAAAGAAAAAGAAAAAGACAAAGCTACAACAGATAAAAGACCTCAGGAATGTACATCTAATTGACACTACATTGCATTAATCAATAGCTGCACTTTTTGCAAACTGTGGCTATGACAGTCCTGAACAAGAAGGGTTTCCTGTTTAAGCTGCAGTAACTTTTCTGACTATGGATCATCGTTCCTTCTGTGGCAGATTTTTACAGTTCCTCTAATGCATTTGGGACGACTGTCTCAAAGTAACCTGCAGCTTTCCTGACAACTCCTCGCTCTCTCTCCTGCTAAGAACTGTAGCCTGTTGAATAATACAGGATAAAAAAATTATTACACTCAGTGAACAGTTCCACATATTCTTTTATCATCATAATAAAAATTTAAAGATACCTACCCTTTTCTGCTGTTTTTAGAACCTTCTGCTACCATATCCACCACTTCCACCACCAGATCCATAACCACCTAAAAATAGACATAGCATTTTAAAAGAAGTATACACATTTCTTTAATTAAAAAGGCTCTAAAGAATTGATTTAAGAAAGTACTTACCACCATAGGGACTGCCCGAGCTTCTTCCACCAAAACTGCCCCCTTTCATAGGTCCATAATTTGACTGCTGTTGTCCACTATAATTTCCAAAATCATTATAGTTCCCACCACCACCATAGTTACCTGAAATCAGAAAGGTTTTATGTGTGGTTTACCTACACAATAATCATTTTCCCCTTTTAATGTATGTAATTATTATCTTTTAAGAATTATGATAGCATGATTATACACATCACTTGGGTAGCACCACTTGGGATAACTGATGTCAGGGTATTAAAACACAAACAACATTTTGTCTATATTAGATGCTATCCTCTAGGCCCATGTTCTCTCTACCATTAACACCATTAAAATTGTCAGGGTTCCATTCACTATGATTCTGAGGCATTATAACTTGTTAAAACTTCACTCATCTGTCACTGACATGTTAATTAGGTCCAACAAAACAGTCCATTCCTAAGAAAGCTTTTAACAGTATTCTGGATTAATGACCTATACTTGGTTGCTTAAACTCTGCAACTACCTGTGACATATTAAGACCCAAAGTACTTTGTTAACCTAAGCCCTAGATGGCAATCTGCACACTTCAACATGTCTGGAGTATTCAAACATTTTATTCCCAATTGTCCAGTTTAAATGTACCTAAGAGTTAAGTAACATTTTGGCAATAAATAAACTCCCAATCTTTTACATGTAAAACATGTATTAAATACTGGTAAATGTTCATTTTTAACTACTCAATTAAGAATTGAGTACATCTGACTGAGCGTGGAGGCTCACACCTGTAATCCCAGCACTATGGGAGACAGAGGCGGGCAGATCACAAGGTCAGGAGATTGAGACCATCCTGGCTAACACGATGAAACGCTGTCTCTACTAAAAACACAAAAAAATAACCGGGCGTACTGGCATGCACCTGTACTCCCGGCTACTTGGGGGGCCGAGGCAGGAAAATCGCTTGAACCCGGGAGGCGGAAACTGCAATGAGCTGAGATCACGCCACTGCACTCCAGCCTGGGCAACAGAGCGAAACTCCATCTCACAAAAAAAAAAAAAAAAAAAGGAGTTGAATACATTTTACTAAATAACCAGCAAAGTCAAGAAAATTTGGTTTGAACTACTCACCATTTTAGTATTTTTTAATATTACAAAACATAAAATTTGATAAAATGCTAACTTTTAACACTTTTCAAATATGTGTCATGCCAACTATTAGCAACACTGAATATTTAACATTTAAATAAAACAAGTGAATGCTTACCGCCAAAATTTCCTCCTTCATTGTAACCATCATATCCTCCACCACCGCCACCATATCCACCACCTTGGTTTCCATATCCTGGTCCACCACCACCATAGCCCCCTCTACTACTATAACCAGGACCACCGCCATAGTTGCCACCTAAAAAAAAAACAACAAAAAACAAGATCACACAAAAACGTTTCAAGTGTATAGTCAAGTTATTCAATTCTGGTGTGTGTAAGAGACTGAGTCTTGCTCTGTTGCCCGGGCTCAAGTACAGTTGTGCAACCACAGCAATGGAGCCTTGAACTCCTGGGCTCAAGTCATTCTCCCACCTCAGCCTCCTGAGTAGCTAGACTATGGGCATGTGCCACCACGTTCCCCTATTTTATTTTTCTAGAGACACGGTCTCTCCTTATGTTGCTCAGACTGGTCTCAAAAGCCTCACCTTAAACAACCCCTCTGCCTCAGCCTCCTGAACAGCTAGGATTACTCAACTATGGTTTTATATTACATTTAAGCCACTGGCAAATAAGCCAGTGAGTTGATTTAACACTCTGAAGCCTGGTGATAGCTAATAATAATAGAATATCAAGTATCTGCGCTAATAAGAATGAAAGTAAATGTTTAACCATCTTGTGATAGTCAAAAAAAAAAATCAGTTTTCCTTTTATAAAATTTCACTAACAAAAATACAGTCTCAGACTTAATAAAACAATCTGGCTCAACCCCTACTACTTGCTGAAAAAGAGCAGCTGATGTATCTTTAGGGGAAAAAGGGTTCCTGCTCTTCTATGGCATTAGTTTGGAAATACACCTTAACCATTAAGCCATTCAAGCTTTGACTAAAATTAGAAAAGTGTAATAATTTTCAGGAAGTTAAAATATCAATCGAAAATAAGCCACGTACCATCACCTCCAAATCCATTATATCCACCATCACCTCCTCCATAACTACCTCTGCTACCACCACCTCCACCACCATAGCCTCCTGAGGAAAAACAAGAAATGAATTAAAATCATATATTCAACTTACTGAAATGTTAGGTGTGCATGTACTCAGAAGATAAACAGCCTACCTCTTCCACCAAAGTTTCCACCACGGCCAAAATTACCTCCACCACCTCCAAAGTTTCCTCCACGACCCATAAAATTGCCAGATCCACCTCCACGACCTTTAACACAGGCAAGGGAGATTTTTAAGAACCTTACAAACATGACTCACGTCCACTGTGTACATGTGTATGGTCCTACTCACCTCTCTGTGATCCAGCAGACTGCATCTCTTGTTTAGAAAGGGCCTTTTTCACTTCACAATTATGCCCATTAATAGTGTGGTATTTCTGAACTAAATTTTTTTTTAATCAAACAAAACAGAAAGTTATTTTATGTTTGGAAAAGCACATATATGAGATACCCTCTGTCATTATGTAACCCATTAAGACATAATCAGGTAGTTACTCTGGGAATGAAGGAGCATTCTGAGATGTTAATGTTTATTTCTTGATCTGGATACTGATTACACAGGTGCAGACACTATAAAAACTGACTATACACTATAAATGCCATTACACGCAACAGAAAATTACAAGCAGTTAAGCAAATTTAGTTCAGACAGAAAACCCACGTCTACTTTCTCATTCGAGTTACCATAAATTGTTACTTACCAACAATTTTATCAACTGTATCATGATCATCAAAAGTTACAAAAGCAAATCCTCTCTTTTTTCCACTCTGCCTGTCTTCCATAACTTCTATGGTTTCAATTTTGCCATACTTTTCAAAGTAGTCTCTCAAATTATATTCTTCTGTATCTTCTTTAATACCACCAACAAAAATTTTCTTCACTGTTAGATGGGCACCAGGCTTTACAGAATCCTATAAATAAAGTAATATATTAAGTCAAGAAACAAACTTTCACAACAATTTCATATATTACACAATATATTATTAAAATACCTCTCTAGAAACAGCTCTCTTTGGTTCCACTACACGCCCATCAACCTTGTGTGGTCGAGCACACATTGCTGCATCCACCTCTTCAACACAAGAATAAGTCACAAAACCAAAGCCCCTGGAACGTTTTGTTTGGGGGTCTCTCATTACCTACAAAATAAAAGTTTTATAACGTTGAAAACATCTCCACGGATTCTCTTCAACACTTAGAACCCTTCTATTCCCTTAGTGTAACTTACCACACAATCTGTGAGTGTGCCCCATTTCTCAAAATGTTCTCTTAAACTATCATCTGTAGTTTCAAAGCTCAGACCACCAATAAACAGTTTTCTCAACTGCTCTGGTTCCTTTGGATCATGGCCCTGAGAGAAAGAACCAATACTCTTAAATTATCTTACCGTAGATGGATTAAGATGCACGAAGAGCCTTTAATGTACTGTAAGTAATAAAATCAACATCAAATTCCTGTGACAATTAACACTTTGTCCAGTTAAAACTTTGACCAGACACTGGGCGCGGTGGCTCATGCCTGTAATCCCAACACGTTGGGAGGCCGAGGCAGGTGGATCTCCTGGGATCAGGAGTTCAAGACCAGCCTGTCCAACATGGCGAAACCTCATCTCTACTAAAAACACAAAAACTAGCTGGGCGCGGTGGCAGGCGTCAGTAATCCCAGCTACTCGGGAAGCTGAGGCAGGAGAATCGCTTGAAGCCAGGAGGCGGAGGATGCAGTGAGCCAAGATCGTGTCATTACACTCCAGCCTGGGCGATAAGAGCGATACTCCGTCTCAACAAAAACAAAACAACAACAAAAAAATAAACAACAAAAACTTTGACCAGAAATACAGACTTCAACTGTTAAAAGGGCTAACTCTGTCAAGGAAACCTATAACCAGCCTTTCAAATGCCAACATCACTTCAACTAAACTGAAATCCAAGACAAATCCAGAATCTAAAAACCCTTCATTTTTTAAAAGCTGCAATTGTCTGAAAACCTTTACTTTAGAAGTTGCTAATGAGAAGTCATTTTCTAAGGCACTAAACTGCTGGAGAAGCAGTGTTGCATCTATCCCACTTCAACTCTTCTCAGTCTACATCCCAACATGCTTTTAATTTTAAACTCCAAACTGTGATGAACAATCTAAAAGTTCTAAATGTCAAACTTACAGAAACTCACTGCTTTCAAGCAAATTAATTTAAAATAGGCATTCCTAAGCCAAACCAGCATCTCCCAAAAAAACTAAGAGAAAAAAAAAAAAGCCGACTAAATAGCTTTCTATAACCCATGTTTGTTATATGCTGCAAAAATCTTCATTTTATGACTCAATTTTAAGAGTCACAACAAACTGCCAAGTTGAACTTACATTAGGAATGGTATGTATTGTCTGACTATAAGAACGGAGCACAGCAAAACAAAAATTGAGATTTTTAAGAATTAGGATGTCTTGAAATTGTTTTATACTTCAGTCAGACTTCTTAACACATTGCATGAACTGTCATTTAATGCATACATTAAGGTTTCCTTCACCCGAAGTCCTTAAATAAGGGGGCTCACATTTACATTCTCATGTCTTCAAGTGTCTTCTAGAGGTAGAGATGTTAAGGCATTTAATGTGAAGAGATTGTCACATGCTAGAAAAAAATGTTAAAAGCCTAAAGCATTAATTCATGTAGTCTCATCTTTTCAAGTCTTGGATAAATGTATTCGATTGACAATAACGAAATCGACAAAAATATTTAGGATCCACATTAAATGTACTGCAAACAAGTGAAAATTTCAACTTTGGTTGCAGTCCTCTAAACAAAATTCCAGGAAACTACAAGCAGAGCCGACTCAAAGAATGGGAAAACATGAAGATAAAAAACATTTTAAAATTCTTCCTTAACATCTACACTCAAATTCTTCTCCACCCACCCTCCCCAACGGCCGGGGTCGGTAAAAAGCTGGCTGGGTTGTTTTTCACATCTGCACTCAAGTTCTCAAATACTAAGTTCTTCGCCCACATGGCGGTTTGAGAAGCGTAATGTAACTACTTCAGCAAAAACAGGAAGTATTCTAAAGCAGCAAAGTTTTTAACAATCTCGTATTTCCAACAGGATGCTGCGAAGAAAAGAACAGGCCAATTATCGACTTCTCCTCGCGAAAAGAACCGGTAAAATGCCCAGAAAAGCGTCCACCGAACTTCAGCGAAAGCACTACCTTCTCGTGCTTCGAGGCCATTTGCGGCATTTTCTGCCGGGCCGCCTCCGCCCTCTTCTCTCCAATCCCAGGCTCTCTTTCCCGGCGGCAGAGCGAGGCGGCGGCCATTGCGGGCCAATGCGCCATTTCGTAACGCGGCGGCGGATCAATGTCAATGTGGCCGCCGCCCGCCTGCTCGCTCGCCCGGATGTGCCTGCTCGTCCCTTCCCCTCCCCCACAACCTCTTCCCAACCGCTCCCGCCGGGGCCCGCCATGCCGCCCTCGGCCTCGCTTCGGAGGCCGCGCAACCAGCAGGCCGGCTTCCCTCCCGGGACCTCCCCGACCACGCCGCGCCTCCAAGGGGCCGCCTGTGCAGCTGAAGATGAAGGCGAGGCGGGTGAGGGGCCCCGAGGAGGTCTCCAAGGCCCGCTCCCCTCCCCCTCCCACCGCCCGTCTCAACGCAAGAGCGCGGGACGGCCGCCCTGGTTCACCCGGCCTCCCCGCTCCCACCGAACCAGGCCCCCCACGCCGGCCATTCCCCACCAACCCCCCGCTCTCCCCCTAATACCTCCTCCCCCCGGCGGCGACGGCGACGGCCGGAGTCGGGCTGGGGGCGACCGGGCGGCGGTTTTACCTCCATTTTGAGACCGGACTCGCCTCTTCCAACTCGAGTTCAATATGGGACCGAGAGGAAGAGGCGGGGCCAGTCGTCACGTGACGCGTTTTCCGCGCGCCGCCAGTCTGGTGGGGGAGGAGCGAGCTGGGAAGGGGGCGGAGCCAAGCGGGCGCGAAGAACGACTGGACCAGCGGGTTGGCGGGCGGAGGGCGGAGGCGCGGCGTGCCGCGGGAGCGCGCGCGCCTCGCCGACTTTCAGGGCAGGACCGCCTTGGCGCCGTTCGCGTCCGGACGAGTTCCGGGACGTCAGTTCGGTCTCCGCCAATGGTGAGCGTCCACGTAGAGAAAACGCCTCGTGATCGCGCGTCACCAGAGAGAAAAGCCTTTCCCTTTCTTCTCGCGCTTGTGCCTCCTTCCCCCGCAGGCCTCTAGTTTTCCTTTTCCGAATTCATTCCATTCTTGTGCCCGAAATAAAACCTACGTTTTTCTTGCTTGTAATTTAAAGGTTGCAGGAAAAACCCCTTAGCCCTTCGGACCACCTGTCCTGTTTCCAAATGCCAGGGACCAGTGTCTGTGGCTGCGGCGCCCACCTGAGGGCATGTACTGAAAATCCCTGCGGCTCCGACGTGTAGGAATCACAGGCACCCTGGGCAGGCCTCAAAACGCGGCCGACATACAGAATTTTTACCATTAACGACCTGAGGCAGGACTGGTGGAGGTCAGTTCATTAGTTACTGATCTCAAGAAACAAGTCAGGACTATTTTCTAATGTGCTTCTTTCAAGTTAGTGTGGAAAGAGCTGATGCATCTGTTGTAACTGACGGAATTTAAGGAACTGAATAATTGACAAGATTTTCAGAAAAGCAGGGTCGCCAGATAATGCTACCAGTTTGCGAAAGATTGTTACCGTAATGCTCTAGAGATCTAATCCTTTCTCGGCCTAGTCAGATGATTTTAAATCATTTGACTTTACAGAGCTGTAGTTTCAGTTTTTTACATGAAAATGGGGATGGGATTAGGTCATCTTCTAACACCCAGGCCAGCCATAAATTGATAATCTATGAATCCATATTTAAAGTTACTGATAAAAATAACCACAATTGACGAGCCTCCCTTCCCTGTTAGGAAATGCTTTATATTTTAATTTAGCAACCCATGTGACCAACTCTTTTAGAATTGAACTGGTTCTCCCTAGGAAAGATTAGAAATCTAATCAGTTACATTAAAAGTTTCTGTTAACAAATGGGGAGTGGTCGATTTCGAGTTTGGAAAAGGGAGCGCAAAGTCTAAGAATTTGTTAATTTATCTAACCGTTGCCCCAGGAGGACCTGCGTTATAGTTTGGAGACATGTATAAAGGGTAGTTTTGTGGGGCAGAAACCAGTTAGCAGTCCTTAATGTTATTTGGATGAAATAACCGTTCAAACCAGACTCCTCCTGTTGCTTTGATTCCTTTTTCGCAAACTTTCACGTATTCTGCGTATCCAGGTGCTCCTGATGGCCAGCAATAGACTTGAGACATTATAAGAATGTATAGCCTTAGCGTCTAGTTAGTGTTAAGATTTTCTAAGTCTGATTACTGTGAAATAGTCCTGGTAATTTTATCAATTCTGGATACAAAGAAAAATGCAAAGTGAAAGAGCTTTGGAAAGTGGTATTCACACCAGAGTACCCTATGAAACACTACATAGGTGATCAAGAAGAGTGATCACCTGGCTGCACTTTAGGGTATGTTTTTCCAGGTTTTTCTAATCAAGTTAATTCTAATCAATAACTTTTGTTATAATTAATAACTTTTGTATAAATGTTAATGTTAAATCGCGAAACAATGTGGGATGGGATACTAAGTTCTCTCCAGGAACATGAAATGTCAGTCCATTTATTCACATCTTTTTGTCCTCCCCATTGTATTGGTCCAGATTTGTTGTTCATCCTGACTGTGTGCTGTTTTTAGACGTTATTTTTTATGCTTTTGTCTAAACTTAAGCTCTGGCCGGGCGCCATGGCTCACACCTGTAATCCCAGGATTTTGGTAGACTGAGGCAGGCGGGTCACCTGAGGTGGAGAGTTTGAGATCAGCTTTGCCAACATGGTGAAACACCATCTCTACTTTTAAAAAATACAAAAGTTAGCCGGGCATGGAGGCACACGTCTGTAATCCCAGCTGCTTGGGAGGCTGTGGCACGAGAATCACTTGAACTCAGAAGGGGGAGGTTGCAGTGAGCGGAAATTGCCCCAGTGCACTCCAGCCTGGGTGACAGAGCGAGACTCCGCCCCCTCCCCCACCAAAACAAAGGCCGGGCGCAGTGGTTCAAGCCTGTAATCCCAGTACTTTGGGAGGCCAAAGTGGGCGGATCATCTGAGGTCAGGAGTTCGAGACCAGCCTGGCCAACATGGTGAAACCCCGTCTTAAAATACAGAATTGGTCGGGTGTGGTAGTGGATGCCTGTAGTCCCAGCTACTCTGGAGGTGGAGGCTGGAGAATTGCTTGAACCCGGGAAGCAGAGGTTGCAGTGAGCTGAGATCACACCATTGCGCTCCTGCCTGGGTGACTCCATCTCAAAAAATAAATAAATAAACTTAAGGTCCAGTTGTGTCTCAGGTACAAAAAGCACTTTTCCGAAAGTCCTTGACCCTGTAGGGCACAGACTTGAAACTTGGCAATGGTCTACACTTGCAGCCCTGATTCTTTGAAATGAGAAAGGGAGTGTATAGGATGGGAGGAGGGAGTGAGGGTCCTAGGGTTAGATGGGTGGCAGACAAACTTTATAATCTGTATCAGACCCTCTCCTTTATATCATGACATACAGAAAATGATCATTTTTGTGCAGCGTATTGGGGTAAAATAGAAAATATTTGGAGGCATCTAAATGGTGGTAATGTTTTCTTTTAAGTATCTAATTTTGATAAAATACAAAGTATTAGGAATGATATTAAATATTAAATTTGCAAAAAACTTTCAAATTAAAATTTCCCATGTTTTTTAGTGATCAACTCCTGTGAATATATTTTGATATTAGATTTTATGGTTGAAGTGGCTTTATGCAGTTTCTGATTTAGACTTTTTTTTTCTTGAGACAGTCTCACTCTGTCACCCGAGCTGGAGTGCAGTGGCACGATCTCAGCTCATTGCAACCTACCACTCCTGAGTTCAAACAATTCTTGTGCCTCAGCCACCCAAGTAACTGAGATTACAGACCCATGCTACCATGCCCAGCTAATTTTGTTACAGAGTCTCGCTCTGTTGCCCAGGCTGGAGTGCAGTGGCACGATCTCTGCTCACTGCAACCTCTACCTCCTGGGTTCAAGCGATTCTCCTGCCTTAGCCTCTCAAGTAGTTAGGACTACAAGCGTGCACCACCATGCCTGGCTAATTTTTCTATTTTTAGTGGAGTCGGGGTTTCACCATATTGGCTAGGCCGGTCTGGAATTCCTGATCTTAAGTGATCCGCCCGCCTTGGCATCCCAAGGTACTGGGATTATAGGCGTGAGCCACTGTGCCCAGCTGGAAGAAGGTAACTCATTCTTTTTGTTTGTTTATTTTTTATTTATTTATTTTTTTGAGACGGAGTCTCGCTCTGTCACCAGGCTGGAGTGCAGTGGCGCAATTTCGGCTCACTGCAACCTCTGCCTCACAGGGTTCAAGTGATTCCCCTACCTCAGCCTCTCAAGTACCTGGGACTACAGGCACCCGCCACCATGCCTGGCTAATTTTTTGTATTTTTAGTAGAGACGGGGTTTCACCATGTTGGCCAGGATGGTCTCCATCTCTTGACCTCGTGATCCACCCACCTCAGCCTCCCAAAGTGCTGGGATTACAGGCGTGAAGGAAGAAGGTAACTCTTAAAAGGGAGGAATTGTAATAAACTATAAGCTTTGTTATCTGCCGTTATATTCAGAATATACCAAAGCTTTATTTTCTAAAATCTTGATTTTTAAATAAGGAGTTTATGAAGTAAAACACACACAAAAAAATCTTTCTCCACAAAATCCTATTACATAGATTTGACCATGATCAACAACTTATTATATATCCTCTCACATTTTCTTCTTGGCCTAATCAATGCTTATATATATGAAACAAACGTATTTGTTTTATTTTTGCAAATGTATGTCTAACTATCCAGATTGATTTGAAATTTCCTTTCTTTCCCGCTTAACAAAGTTATTTACCAAACTCTTACTATGTGCCAGGCAATGCTAGGTGCTGGAAATTCATCATAGTCACTCACATTATTGAATACTACTGTATACCTTGTAATGGGCCAAGTACTTTATGTTCCTGGTCTCATTCCCCTAACAAACTTAGGAGGGTAAATTCTCCCTAATCTGGGATGTAGGGAAGTTGAATACATTGACTAAAATTATATAGGCTCTACAACTAAAGTGCTGAATGAGAATGTCATATAATCACTGTATTTACATTTTAATATTCTTGAAGGTAACAACCTTTTCTTTAAAAATGTATTCATACATTTGTGTTGTTCACTATGTTTCTTATGTTTCCAGAGACCACTACAGAGATTGGCTCTGTAGTAGGCAATTCACTTATTTGTGGAGTAAACATTCAACATTAGATGAATGAATGATGGATGACATATTTTGGGTCCCCTTCAATGCCCCGTTGGACCTTGATATGGTTTGGCTCTATGTTCCCATCCAAATCTCACCTTGAATTGTAATCCTGTAATCCCCACATGTCAAGGATGGGACCAGGTTGAGGTAATTGAATCATGGGGGGTAGTTTCCCCCATGCTGTTCTCATGATAATTTGTGAGTCTCACGAGACCTGATGGTTTTATAAGCATCTGGCATTTCCCCTGCTTGCACTCATTCTCTCTCCTTCCACCCTATGAAGAGGTGCCTTCTGCCTTGATTGTAAGTTTCCTGAGGCCTCCCCTGTGGAACTGTGAGCTAATTAAACCTTTTTCTTTGTAAATTGCCCAGTCTTGGGTATTCATAGCAGCATGAGAACGGGCTAATACAGACCTACTGCATAATTTGTGGAGACTTGTGCAAAATGAAAATGCAGGGTGCCATGTTCAAAACTTATTAAGAATTTTAAGACATGACATCAAAGTATTAAGCCAAGCCAGGACCCTTATAAGTGCTGGACTCTGTGCAACTGCAAAGGTCATATGCCCGTGAAGTCTGCATAGTGCCCTGTCTAGAGCAGGTACCTGGTCTCTTTCCAGAAATTTATTCACTTGCCATCTTGTATTTTCTTCCGCTTTCTCATCAGCCACTCATTTCTTAAGTGTTCCTAATCTAGTTTCTGCCTCAGACTGCCACTCATTTCTTAAGTGCTCCTAGTTTCTGCCACAGGCTATAGAAATTGTTTTTCCAAGGTCACAAGCGATTATCTAACTGTCAAATTAATTTCCGTGTTCTTAAATGTTAATCCTCCCTGACCTAGGGATTAACATTACTGCCTGTTCCTCCTTTTTTTTCTTTTTCTTTTTTTTTTTTTAGACAGAATCTCGCTCTGCTGCCCAGGCTGAAGTGCAGCAGCATGATCTTGGCTCACTGCAACCTCTACCTACTGGATTTAAGCGATTCTCCTGCGTCAACATCCCAAGTAGCTGGGATTACAGGCATGTACCAGCATACCTGGCTAAGTTTTATTTATTTTTATTTTTCATTTTTTGAGTTGGAGTTTTGCTTTCGTTGCCCAGGCTGGATTGCAGTGGCGCGATCTCGGCTCACTACAACCTCCGCCTGCCAGGTTCAAGTGATTCTCCTGCCTCAGCCTCCTGAGTAGCTGGGATTACAGGCGTGTAATCCCACCATGCCCAGCTAATTTTTTGTATTTTTAGTAGAGACAGGGTTTCATCATGTGGGCCATGTTAGTCTCAAACACCTGACCTCAGGTGATCCACCCGCCTTGGCCTCCCAAAGTGCAGGGATTACAGGTGTGAGCCACCACACCCGGCCCTGTTCCTTCTTTTCGATGTTTTCATTTTTTGTCTTTATTAAGGACATTGATTCTTCCCTTTAGTTCATCATTGCTTCCTTCTGGATCCTTCCCTTTTTCATTTTCTCTCTCCTCTTGTTTCCATAAGGTTTTGTCACACTGAGGTATGGAACTTCCTGAGAAACTTTGTGAAATGCACCCATTGTTCTCCTAGGAGTGACCACTTTCCCTGGGAAAAGTATGAGGTGGTGTAAGTGCGTGAGAACTCTCAGGGAATTTGTACATGCCTAGTGGGAAGCTAAAGAAGAGGTTAGGCCTGATTAGTGTGTTAAGATGACAAGATATATCACTTCCTTCTCCCAACACACACTGACCTCCCCCCCCCCCCGCCAACACACCCCCCACAGTTGAGTGATTTAGAGACTGAGGAGGTAATTTGATACAAGAAGTATCGAGGAGTCATTCACAGGGACTATGTTCTCTTTCAGACAAATCCCAATTTGGAAGTCTGAAAAGGCTGAAATCTTTTTGGTAGGTGCTTTACAAAAGACTTTCACATAAAACTTTGATTAAATAAATTAGTTACACTTTTACTAACTTGTCTTCTGTTATAAGAGTGTTGGCCATGACCTTTACAATGGGTAAGGAAAGGTGTCACACCTCCACTTTTTTCCCCATAAAATTGACCTTTTGAAGAGATCAGGACAAATTAATTTGTAGGATGCTTTACATTTTGGGTTTATTTGATTGTTTTCTCCAGGTGCGATTTAACTTGATTCTCTATCTCCTTCATTTCCTATAAATTGGAAGGTTAAATCCAAACTCTTATTAACTTCAAATTAATCAGGTTGAGCAAGAATATATCAGAGGTGATGATGTGTACTTTAGATTGTTGTGTCACATCAGGTGGCACACAATATCAGATTGTCCCGCTATTTGTGATGTTAAATGTCATCAAAGTGGTAAAGCCCTCCTTTGTAATTAGAAGGTCATCTGTGAGGTGGTACTTTAGTCCCATGCAAATATCGGACCCCAAAACAACCTTTCCCATGATGTGTTAGCATTCTTGATCACCTTTGACTGAATTATTTCATTAGGGATGACAGAATGATGACTTTTCTAATTATATCATTTCTTCTACATTTATTAGCTAGCGTTTATAAATACACACACACACACACGCACACACACAAC